TGTCATCCTTTACTGATTAGTACACGTGTCACTATTCTTATTGGTCCTTATTTTGGCAGAGGCGGTTTCTTTGTATAATTCTACAATGACTACTGTCCACACTCACCTCCCATGCTTGAGGTACTAAAATTTAATCAAAAAGGACAAAGAGTGCGCTTACTTACAGTGGGTGCTTCACCAGCTTATTGATTATTTAATTTAATTTTAAGTAAAGAACTAAGGCTCAGTTTGTTTCTCATATTAGAGAGACTATTCTAAAACCCGCACCAAGATAAACAGGAAGGACCTGTGATTGTGTCAGCAGAATATTTCCCTACATAATGCCTGTTTTTTCCACACCCAGTATAACAAACCCTTTTCACATATGTTTTATTGTACATATATCTCCCATAATGCAAACCTTTTCCATTTTCAACCGTAGAGTCAGTCCTAGATGAAGTTGGCGCCTCAAAGCTAAACAAGGTTCAGGATCAGCTGAGGAAGACAGGTATGTATGATGGTAACATGAACATTAAGTGGACATGGCAGCACGTGGCATACTAAATGGAGCATATACTTTAAGGAGGAGCATTGAAGTCACGCTTGCCTTAGCTGATCGTATCAGCTTTCATGCTTCACAATCACTGACCTGTTTATCAGCTGCGTGGCAACCAGCTGACTAGTAACGTCCAATCACATTTATACAGGTGCAAAGTGTGGCTTTTACAACGCCACACTTCTTACTTTTAAGGTGTGTTCAGACAGAGAGGTATGAGAGAGCATGACTGCGCACAAAGCCAGTGGAAAGACACTGGGTGAAACTCTTGACCTGTCCTATTTAATAAAGGCAAAGAAAGCCTTTAAAATAAATAGGCCAATATATATAAGATGGTGGAAAACTATACTGATGGTTGAATGGCAGGTAATGAGTTTTAAAATTTTTATGGGGGGGGCCCACAGACCTCTGTGTGATTTGCCCCCTCCCCAGTGTTGACTCCATGGCTAATTAACCTCCTGAAAGCGCTGGTAGGTGAACAGATTTCTCTATTTACAAGCAAAGTAGTAGAAGACAGCATTTCCCAGTAATCTCAACCTGTCCTAACAGTCTTGTCAAAGTAGAGGACAGTCACTGAACTAAGTCTGATTCAGCTCTCTGGCATTTAACAGGATCCTCGGAAGGTAACAGCTTTTCGGCCTGCTCTTACTCAAGTAGCCGTTTGTTGTTATTGGCTTGTTCAGCTTCTGTGACATCTTTTATTTGAACTGTTAACTTTCCGGGCGGGCGTTGCTGAGCCTGTGGTGGTGGGGGTGTTATCGATCTACCCCAACACATTTCCTATTTGTGGTGTTTATGTTGGCTGTGCCTGTATAATTGTTTGGAACTTGGAGTGCGACCGACTTTACTGGTAGCAGGAAACACATTATGGGCCGTTTTTCGCACACGACTTGAACGCAACACAGGAGAGGACCGCTTGGGCACGCGCCAGGCAGAGCTGTTTCAGCTTGTGAAGCACGCGGGCCGGTGGTGAGCGCGAGCCAGGATGCTGTGTATGTGCGGGAATGGAGACGATAAAGTGGAACAGTTGTGTTAGTAACAAAAACAGCTGAGAGGAGGAAAGTTTGTGGAGTTTAGCAGCAATGAGCGGAACGGTAACGAGGAGGAGAAAAGGGCCCCGACTGACGAACTTCAAGAGCAGATGGAGTGAGTAAACAACCGGGGCTGTTTACTGTCACTGACTGGGTCTACGTAGTGAACAACCAGTTACGTGATATTCCGATTTAAAGCCCATTAAACGGTTACATATTGTAAAAAACGTACGTTACTATTGAACAGTGTTACTATTTCACGTTACACGTCGTATACCTGCTGTCGGGACGTGCGTTGTTGACCTGTCTCGAGCAGGTTGTTCCTATTTGTGTATCCGGGTATCTGGTAGTCCTGCCAACCACTTCATGTTAACAAAAAGCTAGACTTTACATTAGTTTGTATTACTGGTTAACGCACTGTATGGGTTTTTTTGTTGAATACTGGGGACTAGTAGACTGGAATAAAATGCAACACGGTGAAATATAAACTTGCCGAATTGAATAATGGACTTCAGTGATGTGTTTTGTAGCCTTGCGAGATATGTACTCGGCAGCACTAAATTCACCTTTTGTTAAATGGAGTTCGGTAAGATGCGGCAGGCGGATTTTGGATACCTCAATAAAACGAGGTTTTAACAACGTGGTTCACTGTCAGTCAAAAACCAGACTTCAGGCTGTGACAAGTGCACTTGCTATTATTCACACTTAAGCATGTTGCCTAATTTAATATAGCTACAAACCAGTTAGACAGCTCTTAGATATTATTTATTAGAAGTATAGAATTTGGATTACTTTGAAGCCTCAGGAGCTGAAGTTACAATCAGAAGTATGCCTCTGTTGTTGCAGTCAGTTTGAAATACTGGTGTTTTCAGTAGTATCAACACCTTTAACACATCAAACACCAGGCGAGGTTTTCCATGACTGGCTACACATCCAGCCAAGAATGTGGCTGAAGACACTGAAGAGGATCACTGATGAAGTGGAATTTAGAAGCTAAAAACGGCTATATTTAGAAACTGGACAGGTAGATAAAAAGATAAGTGGACAGATTTTGCAGGTTTTCTGAGGGAAAAATAACATGGAGCAGGATTAAGGCAGTTTTGGTCTTTTGTGACTGCGCCATTCCTTTTCTTATAGAATTGACAGCATGGTGTTGTAACATGTTCAGGAGCCTCAGGGCACGAGGCTGTTTAACAGCACTGTTATTTACACCCACATCAGAGCTGAAGAGCAGAAGCACAACTCGTGTGGAGGCATAGGAAAACCCTGCTCTGATGTAGAGTAAATAAATTACACTACAACCTAAGATACTTTCTGCTACATATATTTTTTCTTACTGAATACAAAGTTGTGCAAGTGCAAGGCGCTGAGTTGAGGAACACTGCCATTGCTACCGACACAGCGACACACACCTTGTCCCAGCAGCAGAGGTTGTGTCTTACACACTTTAAGCTGCAGTAGAGCTGTTGTCAGGAACATGGGAGGTCAGCCAGACTGAAACCTGGACAATGTCCAGTGGGATTCCTTTTTTGTAGGATACATTCAGTTGAACTCTTTCCTCATGTGCTGTATGTGCTCACTCGGCTTTTTAACTTACGTCGAACTGCATGATGAATGTGACATCATGTTTGGCAGTAAACCAAACATTGCAGTGATAACCGCAACACCAACAAGAATGTTTTATTTTTTTGATTTGCACACTTAAAGCATTAAAGGTTAGGTTCACCCCAGTATCTATAATTATATAGTTAGAACTTGTGCCTGTTTTCCTATCAGAATTCTGCCTCCACCCCAATGCAATAGAGGTGGATGCATGTTTGACTTTGCTCCTCAAAACACTTCAAACTGATCTTTGAAAAATTCAACAGCAAGGTGTTTTCCCACAAACACTGGGCCTCGTGCATGAAGCGCTTGCGCAAACAGATTCATTCCTCAGTGATTTCAACAAGTGATTAGGAGGATTTGTAGCATTTATCCATTTTCTCACATTTACAGTTTTCTCTTACGCGTGCATGAAATTCTGTGGTGGTCCAGACCTTTCTTTTGAGTCATCTACAGATGTATTAATGTTTCCTCCACTGGGGGAAACACTGATAATAAAATGTGTAATATGTGTAAGAACTGGAGTTTAAATGCGTTACAAGACATAGAATTTGTTTACTTGCTCAGAGTTAGATGACTGTGTCTCTTTCCATTACATAACAATTAGACCCTGACTGATGTTGGATTTTTAAGACTCAACTACTGATATGGCGGCTGATAAAGTGCATTCATGTGTTTTAATGAAAATAGACCTTTTCTATGTGGATTGTGTTTTCTAAGTAAGTTGAATATGTTTTAACATGTTTAGGCTACTCTGTCAACCAATTAGAAAATAAAGAATATACAAAAGTAAATAGTTAATCAGACATCAGTACTGTATGTTCAGTATCAGCCATTGGTGACCATTTAAATAAAGAATAAATAAATCAAATCCAATAAGTAGCTAAACATTAGTACTGTAAGACTACAAACTATCTTTTTGACTACATTCATTTTCACTTTGCTATATGTTGGAATAATTACAGCTTACTTTTACTTTACTTCAGTTCACCTAACATTAACACAGACTCAGAATTTGTGACTTTCACTTTTACTTGTGCCTGGAAGGTCTCTCTCTCTCTCTCTTCTCTCTGTCTCTCTCTCTCTGTCTCTCTGTCGTGTCTGTGTCTCTCTTCTCTTTGTCTCTCTCTCTCTGTCTTCCTGTCTGTCGTGTCTCTCTCTCCTCTCTCTCTCTCTCTCTCTCTCTCTCTCTCTTCTTCTCTCTCTGTCCTTTTAATTTCTCTCTGCTGGCACATTTCAAGATGGATGATTTGTTGCTACCAAATTCATTTCATACACTATGACTGGAGTTGGAGCGATTTTGCTGTCTCAAAAGTTAATATGATATATTTTCTTCAGACAGTCACACACTTAAAGCCGACAATGAATTGAGCTTTTTTTTAAGGCTGTTTATTACCCGTGTGAAAGATGTTGTCGACCGTATTTTCCAGTAGAAAGCCGTTTTCCCACGTGACCTGAATGCAAACGGAAAGATATTTTTCTCAAGCTTTGAAGTAAACAAATGATTCAGCAGACTGTTGCCAGTATACACAGAACATTAATAGGATAGCTCACTGGTTGCAAAACCTTTTGCTTTAGCAACAGGGAGATTGAATGAATGGTTTGCTCGAGTACTTGTTCATCATGCCAATCCAAATAGAGAGGACCTGCATTACACTGGACAGCTCTGGGTGCTTGGATAAAGACCATATTGTTTTACAACCACAGAGCCATGCAGAGGAAACAGAGTGTGCAAAACCTGTAGGCTGGACTCAATTCTGTTTCATACAGCAGGTTCAATTGGGTCTTGACCTAAGCTTACCATGGAAATTTATGACCTTCGCATTACAAGACGTGGTCCTGGTTGAGTAGTTGATCAGCCTTAGCTTCACCTTCATACTTGAAAAACAGCACTCTATGCACACTTCCTGCAAGGCAGTCCCTCTAGGCATGTGTTTATTTTAGACATTTAGGGCTTAAGTTATAACTGACTTCAAATTCTAAATTCCACACCATTGTCATTTTCAAGATCTGCACAGTATCCAAACTTACATATGCTTGCAAATGCAATGCAAACATTTTGCTTATCAGCTATTTGACTGCTTAAGCTCATTTGACCCAGGGCTGGTAATTTAAACAGTTATTCCCATACATAGCACCACCTTTGTTCAAGACCAGGACTCGTTGAGGACTGGGTTGAAGGATCGAGTCCAAGTCGAGAACAGAGCAAGACCGAGACAGGGACAAGATCATGCCTTGCCATTGCCACAAGATAGTTTTGGACAGCGGGCATATGGTTCAAGTGACGTTGATTGGGCTGTCCAGACTGCCAATGTCAGTGTCATTCTGAATAGATTTAACCAATTAAACCAATAACAATTTTAGATTAGTTGTAGAAACCAATACATTTCAGAAGCACTCTTCTCTCAACTTTTTTTTTGAGGAAGTTACATCAGAAAAGACATTTATTATACAGCACTGCCATTATGTCACTTGTACAAAGCAAAGAACAAAAATCCAAACTGATGTCTGCTTTTATTACCTGCTTTTCTCTGTTTGTCTAGGTGAGGCAGGAGTCCCTCTCTCCAATATTCAAGATTACCGCCTACATCTCTAGCATGTTCTGTCATTGAAGATTTACAAGACAGACAGCTGTATGCAACGATGTCTTAAGCTTGAGTAAATTCCCAAAGGCTTTTTATCTACTAGTCCCCCAGTATTCAACATGAAAAACCCCACAATATCATCATATGAGTGGTTTACTTTTTACTGTGAAAAGACACTAAAGATCTTATACATATTTACAACAAATCTTATATGTAATGCATATAAAGGTTCCAAGACATTATTTGTAATAGACTATGAATTCGTGGTCATGGTAGACAGGATACTATCCTACATGTAACATCTCATTTTACATCAGCAGGTCTAACCAGATAGACAGAGTTCCCCGGATGAATTAACACAATATGACATATACAACCTGATACTGGTGGCAAGGTGACTCTAAAGTAAAGCTGAGACGTTGAGAGCTGCATCCAGTACAATCGACGAAATAGATTCCCATAACAAAGTGCATATATTTTGTTT